CCGTGCCCCATGCCCCATGCCCCGTGCCCCATGCCCCGTGCCCCATGCCCCGTGCCCCATGCCCCGTGCCCCGTGCCCCATGCCCCATGCCCCATGCCCCGTGCCCCATGCCCCGTGCCCCATGCCCCGTGCCCCGTGCCCCGTGCCCCATGCCCCGTGCCCCGTGCCCCATGCCCCGTGCCCCATGCCCATGCCCCATGCCCCATGCCCCGTGCCCCATGCCCCATGCCCCGTGCCCCATGCCCCATGCCCCGTGCCCCATGCCCCATGCCCCGTGCCCCGTGCCCCGTGCCCCGTGCCCCATGCCCCATGCCCCATGCCCCGTGCCCCATGCCCCGTGCCCCATGCCCCATGCCCCGTGCCCCATGCCCCATGCCCCATGCCCCATGCCCCGTGCCCCATGCCCCATGCCCCATGCCCCATGCCCCGTGCCCCATGCCCCGTGCCCCATGCCCCATGCCCCATGCCCCGTGCCCCATGCCCCGTGCCCCATGCCCCGTGCCCCGTGCCCCGTGCCCCATGCCCCGTGCCCCGTGCCCCATGCCCCGTGCCCCATGCCCCATGCCCCATGCCCCATGCCCCGTGCCCCATGCCCCATGCCCCGTGCCCCATGCCCCATGCCCCGTGCCCCATGCCCCATGCCCCGTGCCCCGTGCCCCGTGCCCCGTGCCCCATGCCCCATGCCCCATGCCCCGTGCCCCATGCCCCATGCCCCATGCCCCGTGCCCCGTGCCCCGTGCCCCATGCCCCATGCCCCATGCCCCGTGCCCCATGCCCCATGCCCCATGCCCCATGCCCCGTGCCCCGTGCCCCATGCCCCATGCCCCATGCCCCATGCCCCATGCCCCGTGCCCCATGCCCCGTGCCCCATGCCCCATGCCCCGTGCCCCATGCCCCATGCCCCATGCCCCGTGCCCCATGCCCCATGCCCCATGCCCCGTGCCCCATGCCCCATGCCCCGTGCCCCATGCCCCATGCCCCATGCCCCGTGCCCCATGCCCCATGCCCCGTGCCCCGTGCCCCATGCCCCATGCCCCGTGCCCCATGCCCCATGCCCCGTGCCCCATGCCCCGTGCCCCATGCCCCATGCCCCGTGCCCCGTGCCCCGTGCCCCATGCCCCGTGCCCCATGCCCCGTGCCCCATGCCCCATGCCCCGTGCCCCATGCCCCGTGCCCCATGCCCCGTGCCCCATGCCCCATGCCCCATGCCCCGTGCCCCATGCCCCATGCCCCATGCCCCATGCCCCATGCCCCATGCCCCGTGCCCCATGCCCCGTGCCCCATGCCCCAAGCCCAATGCCCGATGCCCCATCCCCCATGCCCCATGCCCCATGCCCCATGCCCCATGCCCCAAGCCCAATGCCCGATGCCCCATCCCCCATGCCCGATGCTTAATGCCCCATGTCCCATGCCCCATGGCCAATGCCCCATGCCCCATGCCCCATGCCCCATGCCCCATGCCCCATGCCCCATGCCCCATGCCCCAAGCCCCATGCCCCGTGCCCCATGCCCCATGCCCCGTGCCCCATGCCCCGTGCCCCATGCCCCATGCCCCGTGCCCCATGCCCCGTGCCCCATGCCCCATGCCCCATGCCCCGTGCCCCATGCCCCGTGCCCCATGCCCCGTGCCCCATGCCCCATGCCCCATGCCCCGTGCCCCATGCCCCATGCCCCATGCCCCATGCCCCATGCCCCATGCCCCATGCCCCATGCCCCAAGCCCAATGCCCGATGCCCCATCCCCCATGCCCCATGCCCCATGCCCCATGCCCCATGCCCCAAGCCCAATGCCCGATGCCCCATCCCCCATGCCCGATGCTTAATGCCCCATGTCCCATGCCCCATGGCCAATGCCCCATGCCCCATGCCCCATGCCCCATGCCCCATGCCCCATGCCCCATGCCCCATGCCCCATGCCCCATGCCCCAAGCCCCATGCCCCGTGCCCCATGCCCGATGCCCCGTGCCCCATGCCCCGTGCCCCATGCCCCATGCCCCGTGCCCCATGCCCCGTGCCCCATGCCCCATGCCCCATGCCCCATGCCCCATGCCCCAAGCCCCATGCCCCGTGCCCCATGCCCCATGCCCCGTGCCCCATGCCCCGTGCCCCATGCCCCGTGCCCCATGCCCCGTGCCCCATGCCCCATGCCCCGTGCCCCATGCCCCGTGCCCCATGCCCCGTGCCCCATGCCCCATGCCCCATGCCCCGTGCCCCATGCCCCATGCCCCATGCCCCATGCCCCATGCCCCATGCCCCATGCCCCATGCCCCAAGCCCAATGCCCGATGCCCCATCCCCCATGCCCCATGCCCCATGCCCCATGCCCCATGCCCCAAGCCCAATGCCCGATGCCCCATCCCCCATGCCCGATGCTTAATGCCCCATGTCCCATGCCCCATGGCCAATGCCCCATGCCCCATGCCCCATGCCCCATGCCCCATGCCCCATGCCCCATGCCCCATGCCCCATGCCCCAAGCCCCATGCCCCGTGCCCCATGCCCCATGCCCCGTGCCCCATGCCCCGTGCCCCATGCCCCGTGCCCCATGCCCCGTGCCCCATGCCCCATGCCCCGTGCCCCATGCCCCGTGCCCCATGCCCCGTGCCCCATGCCCCATGCCCCATGCCCCGTGCCCCATGCCCCATGCCCCATGCCCCATGCCCCATGCCCCATGCCCCATGCCCCATGCCCCAAGCCCAATGCCCGATGCCCCATCCCCCATGCCCCATGCCCCATGCCCCATGCCCCATGCCCCAAGCCCAATGCCCGATGCCCCATCCCCCATGCCCGATGCTTAATGCCCCATGTCCCATGCCCCATGGCCAATGCCCCATGCCCCATGCCCCATGCCCCATGCCCCATGCCCCATGCCCCATGCCCCATGCCCCAAGCCCAATGCCCGATGCCCCATCCCCCATGCCCCATGCCCCATGCCCCATGCCCCATGCCCCATGCCCCAAGCCCAATGCCCGATGCCCCATACCCCATGCCCGATGCTTAATGCCCCATGTCCCATGCCCCATGTCCCATGCCCCGTGCCCCATGCCCCGTGCCCCATGCCCCGTGCCCCATGCCCCGTGCCCCATGCCCCATGCCCCATGCCCCATGCCCCATGCCCCGTGCCCCATGCCCCATGCCCCGTGCCCCATGCCCCGTGCCCCATGCCCCGTGCCCCATGCCCCGTGCCCCATGCCCCCCATGCCCCATGCCCCGTGCCCCATGCCCCGTGCCCCATGCCCCATGCCCCATGCCCCGTGCCCCATGCCCCATGCCCCATGCCCCATGCCCCATGCCCCATGCCCCATGCCCCATGCCCCATGCCCCATGCCCCAAGCCCAATGCCCGATGCCCCATCCCCCATGCCCCATGCCCCATGCCCCATGCCCCATGCCCCAAGCCCAATGCCCGATGCCCCATCCCCCATGCCCGATGCTTAATGCCCCATGTCCCATGCCCCATGGCCAATGCCCCATGCCCCATGCCCCATGCCCCATGCCCCATGCCCCATGCCCCATGCCCCATGCCCCATGCCCCATGCCCCAAGCCCAATGCCCGATGCCCCATCCCCCATGCCCCATGCCCCATGCCCCATGCCCCATGCCCCATGCCCCATGCCCCAAGCCCAATGCCCGATGCCCCATCCCCCATGCCCGATGCTTAATGCCCCATGTCCCATGCCCCATGGCCAATGCCCATGCCCCATGCCCCATGCCCCATGCCCCATGCCCCATGCCCCATGCCCCGTGCCCCATGCCCCATGCCCCGTGCCCCATGCCCCGTGCCCCATGCCCCATGCCCCGTGCCCCATGCCCCGTGCCCCATGCCCCGTGCCCCATGCCCCGTGCCCCATGCCCCATGCCCCATCCCCCGTGCCCCATGCCCCATGCCCCATGCCCCATGCCCCATGCCCCATGCCCCATGCCCCATGCCCCATGCCCCAAGCCCAATGCCCGATGCCCCATCCCCCATGCCCCATGCCCCATGCCCCATGCCCCATGCCCCATGCCCCATGCCCCAAGCCCAATGCCCGATGCCCCATCCCCCATGCCCGATGCTTAATGCCCCATGTCCCATGCCCCATGGCCAATGCCCCATGCCCCATGCCCCATGCCCCATGCCCCATGGCCCATGCCCCATGCCCCAAGCCCAATGCCCGATGCCCCATCCCCCATGCCCCATGCCCCATGCCCCATGCCCCATGCCCCATGCCCCAAGCCCAATGCCCGATGCCCCATCCCCCATGCCCGATGCTTAATGCCCCATGTCCCATGCCCCATGGCCAATGCCCCATGCCCCATGCCCCATGCCCCATGCCCCATGCCCCATGCCCCATGCCCCATGCCCCGTGCCCCATGCCCCATGCCCCGTGCCCCATGCCCCGTGCCCCATGCCCCATGCCCCGTGCCCCATGCCCCGTGCCCCATGCCCCGTGCCCCATGCCCCGTGCCCCATGCCCCATGCCCCGTGCCCCATGCCCCATGCCCCATGCCCCATGCCCCATGCCCCATGCCCCATGCCCCATGCCCCATGCCCCATGCCCCAAGCCCAATGCCCGATGCCCCATCCCCCATGCCCCATGCCCCATGCCCCATGCCCCATGCCCCAAGCCCAATGCCCGATGCCCCATCCCCCATGCCCGATGCTTAATGCCCCATGTCCCATGCCCCATGGCCAATGCCCATGCCCCATGCCCCATGCCCCATGCCCCATGCCCCATGCCCCATGCCCCATGCCCCATGCCCCATGCCCCAAGCCCAATGCCCGATGCCCCATCCCCCATGCCCCATGCCCCATGCCCCATGCCCCATGCCCCATGCCCCATGCCCCATGCCCCAAGCCCAATGCCCGATGCCCCATCCCCCATGCCCGATGCTTAATGCCCCATGTCCCATGCCCCATGGCCAATGCCCAATGCCCAATGCCCTATGCCCCAAGCCCAATGCCTCATGCGCCATGCGCCATGCCCCATACCCCATGCGCCATGCGCCATGCGCCATGTGCAGATGTTCACAGCAATGAGGGGCCATGGTGCCATGCTCAACGACGAGCCCATCCATGGTATGCACGTAGTCTATGCCATGCCATGCCGCCGTTCATTGCATGCATGCCATGCCGCCGTTCATTGCATGCATGCCATGCCGCCGTTCATTGCATGCATGCCATGCCGCCGTTCATTGCATGCATGCCATGCCGCCGTTCATTGCATGCATGCCATGCCGCCGTTCATTGCATGCATGCCATGCCGCCGTTCATTGCATGCATGCCTTGCCGCCGTTCAATGCATGCATGCCATGCTACCACCAGCCACTGCTCGTGGCCCTTCTCGCCCGTCACCTCTCCCCAAATATGTCATTTATGTATCCAACTGCCATTCCATATGTCCTCAATCTCCCCCCTTCACCTCCCTGCTTTCCCTTCACCTATCACCCCCCTGGTCGTACCTTACGCTTCCCCTCGTGGTGCCTCTGTGCCCTCTCCTCTCCCCTCATTGCACTGCCCCTATCGCCCTTTGCCCACCCCTGGCAGCATCTTCGCAAGCAGACATGGGGTCAGCGCTACTCGCCACTGAGGTGCTCCCCTTGCCCTGCACCGCCGCACCCATGCATTCATGCCCCCCCGCATTCATGCGCTCCTGCATGCATGCACCCATGCACACATCCACATGCCACTTTGCTTCCTTCCTCACATTCTCACATGCACCCATGTATGCGTGCTCCGTTGCATGCTTCCTTGGCACAGCTTTCTGCTCACCCTTCATTTCTTCCTTCCTCCTTCCTCTCCTCTCACCCATTCTCCCCCCCATCCCGCCACCATGGCGGCGGGGGGCATCAGATAGGCACCAAGAGGGACGCAGGCACGGTGGCAGGGCTGACAGGGCGCATCAGCAACCTGCTCTTCCAGGCACGCCCCCCTGCTGCCCCCCTCCCGCCTGCCCTCTGCCACTCGTCCACCACGATGGTCCCAACTCCTGGTGGGAGAGCACTGGATATGAGGGAAAATGCTCTCCTCCCTGCGCCGTGACTTTTGAGTCGACTCAAAAGGGAAAATGCTGTCCTCCCTGCGCCACCCGTTACTATGCCAACTGCTGCTGCATTCCGCCCTCCCCACCCGCCTCTGTCGTTCCAGTGCACTCTCTCTCGCTCTGCCTGCGCCTCACCATCATATCCGCTCCACTTACCTATCCTTCACTCCGCCCATCAACTCACCCTCGCTCCTCCCTCGTCCAACTCCCAATTCGCCCCAGGTGCGGTCGCTGCGGCTGTCAGGGTCGTGTGCGCTGAACCTGGTGGGCGTGGCATGCGGCCGCCTCGACCTCTTCTACGAGATCGGCTTCGGTGGACCCTGGTGCGTGCCCTCTGCCCTCTGCCCCTCAGTGCTGTGGGGGTGGGGTGAGCAGTGGAAGAGAAGAGGAGGGGGGATATGGTGTGGTTGCTGCAAAGCTGCCAAGAAGGTCAGGGCAGGGCATGGTGTGTGTGGGGGCAGTGGCAGCAGCTACTGCACGTGAGGCGTGTCGTCACACAGTTCTTCCCTCGCGTCATTCAAACTGCTTCACACACGTCTTTCTCCCTCTTGTCTCCCTCACAACCCCCTCACGCGCACCTCACACCTCCCTCACACCTCCTTCACACCTCCCTCACGCTTCCCTCATTCCCCCCTCATGCACCCACCCCCCACACCCCCCTCACGCCCCGCTCTCCCTCGGTGCACGCACCAGGGACGTAGCAGCGGGGTCGCTGATCGTGGAGGAAGCGGGCGGCCTCTGCTTTGACCCGTCAGTGCCCTCCCTTCGCCCTCCCTTCGCCCTCCCTTCGCCCTCCCTTCGCCCTCCCTGCTCTAAAGACCTGTCATCTTTGACATGCACAACAGCATTATATTGATTCTTCAATGTGTTTCTTTTCATCGAGAACTTGAATCTGGTGACGTCTTCTTGTGTGTGGCAGGAGCGGAGGCCCCTTTGATGTGATGGCATGTCGAGTGGCGGCCTCAAATGGCCATTTAAAGGCAGCATTTGTGGAGGCATTAGCCTGTGATGCAGTTGCCAATGGCCAAACATGATGTAATATGGAGTTATCTTAATTCTTTTGCAGGACAGCTTTCACGATGTAGGGACTTTTAGGTGCACAATCAGGATTTGTTGGGTTATTAGTAGGTGCTTCTAAGCATATCCAAACTACAGTTATCTCTCTCGGCCTATGTGTCTTCGCGAAAGTGTAGCCGTTTCCCATGAATGTCGTTGACGAACATCGCGCTGGACAGTTCGTGAGGTCGCTGTGCTCGCAAACTGTAAATCTCCTGCGCCGCTTTCTCCTTCTCAGCGCCCCATTTCGTCCTCCCACTTGGTTTCTTCCACTTAGACCTGCCCACGTGGTCGCCACCTGATACGCTCAGCCGCCACACGACTTCTCTTCTCACTAAGCCGCGCACTTCACCCGCCACCGCCGTTTTCCGCCATGGCGGCACCCATTGCGAGGCTTGGACGACGCGTCGTCTCGCGCGCAGCGCCGTGGCTGGCGGAGACTTCCCCGCTTGGCGGCGTTGGCTCCGTCGCGCGACGGTTTTCGAGCGCCGCTGACGGCGCTGCGACGTCGGAGGGCCATGCGACGTCGAGCGAGTTGATTTCAATGGAGGAGAAAAGCAGCGCGCACAAGTGAGTGGCGCGCGCAAGTGAGTGGCGCGCGCAAGTGAGTGGTGCGCGCAAGTGAATGGCGCGCGCAAGTGGGTGCCGCGCGCAAGTGAGCGGCGTGCGAGCAGGGCATTCATAGAGATGTCGGACCGGGATGGCGTCGCGCTTGCATGTGCGCCCGAATTCCGCAAGAGAGCTTGTGCCCACTCTCCGCCACACTCGTCCTCGCCGCACCGCTCCTTAAATCCGCGCGTTTCCCCATCCGCCCGTCCGCCCGCCTTCGCACGCCCCCCCTCCCCCAGCTACCACCCGCTGCCAGTGGTGTTCGCGGAGGCGCACGGCGCGCGCATCACGGACCCCGAGGGGCGCGAGTACCTTGACTTCCTCTCCGCCTACTCCGCCGTCAACCAGGTGCGCGCAGGGGTGGAATGCGCGGAGAGGGTTTTGAGAGGGGGGTCGAGACGAGGGGTGAGACGAGGGAGGTGCTGTGCAGTGGCCGAGGCAGGCGGGAACTGGTTGAGGGGAGGAATGGGCGGGAGAACGGCACGAGGGAGGGGCGGTTGGGGTGCACTCGCCAGACGCGGGCCTTATCTCCGCTCCGCGCGCCTCCCCCCCTTCCCCCCTCCCCATGCAGGGCCACGGCAACGCGCGCATACTGGCGGCGCTGCAGCAGCAGGCGGAGCGGTGCACGCTGTCGTCGCGCGCCTTCCACAACGACCGCTTCCCGCTGTTCGCGCAGCGCATCACGGCGCTGATGGGGTACGACAAGGTGCTGCCCATGAACACGGGCGCCGAGGCCGTCGAGACCGCGCTCAAGGTGGCGCGCAAGTGGGCGTACGAGAAGAAGGGTGTGCCCGCCAACCAGGTGGGGGGGTGGAGGGGAGGAGGAGATGGGGAAGGGGAGGGAGACGGGGGGAGCGGGAGAGGGAGGGGGAAGGGGGAGGGGAGATGGGGTAGCTGATGATAAAAGTGGGAATTTTCGTCATCCCTTGCCACGCCTTGCCACGCCTTGCCACGCCTTGCCACGCCTTGCCCTGCCATGCCATGACCCTCCGGCCCCTCTGCCCTCTCCGCCCCCCTCACCCCCCTCTCCTCCGCCCAGGCGCTGGTGATCTCGTGCTGCGGGTGCTTCCACGGGCGAACCATGGCGGCCATCAGCATGTCGTGTGACAACGACGCCACGCGCGGCTTCGGCCCGCTGCTGCCCGGCCACCTCAAGGTGGACTTCGGGGACGTGGACGGGCTGCAGCGCCTGCTGGCGGGTGAGTGGGGTGGGGGGCGACGCATGGTGGGCGGCAAGGCAAGTGTGTGGCGAAGAGGGAGCGGAGGTGGGGGTGTGTTGAAGCATGGCGCATGCCGTCGCGCCATCAGCTTATCATGTCAACACGCTCCCATGCCATCGTGCTTCTATCATGCTCCCTCATGCCCTCTGCCTCGGCCCTCAACACCCTCCCCTTCGCCAACCCCCCAATCCCCCACCACCCTGCCGTGCCTCTCCCCCAGAGCACGGCCCACGGGTGGCGGCGTTCATAGTGGAGCCCATCCAGGGCGAGGCGGGCGTGGTGGTGCCCCCGGAGGGCTACCTGCGGGCGGTGCGGCAGCTGTGCTCCCAGCACGGCGTGCTGCTGCTGGCCGATGAGATCCAGACGGGCCTCGCCCGCACAGGCAGGATGCTCGCGTGCGACCATGAGGGCGTGCGCCCTGACGTGCTCGTCAGTGCCCTCTGCTCCCATGCTCTGCTCTGCTCTATGCTGCTTTATATATCTCTGCTCTTCCCTCTATATTGCTATACTGTGCTCTGTATTTCTTTCTCTGCTCTATGCTGCTTTATATATCTCTGCTCTTCCCTCTATATTGCTATACTGTGCTCTGTATTTCTTTCTCTGCTCTATGCTGCTTTATATATCTCTGCTCTTCCCTCTATATTGCTATACTGTGCTCTGTATTTCTTGCTCTGCTCTGTGCTGCTTTATATATCTCTGCTCTTCCCTCTATATTGCTATACTGTGCTCTGTATTTCTTGCTCTGCTCTATTCTGTTCTGCTCTGCTCTGCTCTGCTCTGCTCTGCTCTGCTCTATACTGCTCTATATTCCCCCCCCATCAGATCCTGGGCAAGGCGTTGGGAGGGGGGGTGGTGCCAGTGAGTGCGGTGCTGGCGGATGATGACGTCATGGGGTGCATCCGACCGGGCGAGCACGGCAGGTGGGGCAGGGACGGGTGGTGGGGGGTGGGAATGGGGAATGGGGAGGGTGGGGAGCGTGTGATGGCAGGTGCGCTGTGATGGCAGGTGCGCTGTGATGGCAGGTGCGCTGTGCGCAGCTTGTTTCTGACGCGCCTCTATTGGGAGAGCGGGGAATGGGGAATTGGGAAATGGGAATGGATAATGGGGATGGGGGGGGCGGTGTGATGGCAGGTGCAGTGTGTTCGACCTGCTGCCCTGATTTGCAATGCCCATGCCCATGCCCATGTTCATGCCCTCCCACGTCTCCTTGCCCGCCCTGTCCTGCCCTCCTGTTCTGCATGCCCTCCTGTTCTGCATGCCCTCGCCTCAACGCACGTCCTTACCCCTGGCCCCTCTCCCTCCCTTTTGTTCTCCTCCCCCTCCCCTGTGCGCACTCCCCCCTCTCCCCCTCCTCTGCAGCACGTTTGGCGGCAACCCGTTGGCGTCAGCAGTGGCGCTGGCGGCGCTGGCGGAGATTGAAGAGGGTGGGCTGGCCGACAGGTGCGGGGCAGGGGGGTGTAGGCAGGGGGGAATGCGGATTGGGGGGTGCACGGAGGGGCGGTGCGGGTTAGGGAGGGCTGGTGGGATGGGAGGTTGAGTGGCTGGCTGTTCCATTCCATGCAGAATCATGGGATGGGAGGGGAGGCGCAGTGAGAGTGGACATGGGGAAGAATGCACGCGGCATGACAACCATGTCTCGAATGCACGGGGCATGACAACCATGTCTCGAACGCTCTTTCTGCTCACACGTACCACCTCTGCACATTCCTATGTCCTCAACCCCTTCCACTCATTCCCCCTCCCCTCGACCCCCTCACAACTTCCCCTTTGCCTCCCCCAGGGCGCAGCGGCTGGGGGAGCAGCTACAGGCGCAGCTGAAGGCAGTGCAGGCGCGGTACCCCCACCTGATCCACGAGGTGCGGGGGCGAGGGCTGCTGGTGGCGGTGCAGGTGGCGGGGGAGGGGCTGCCGGGGGGAGTGACGGCGCTGGACGTGTGTGTGGCGATGAAGGAGCGCGGCGTGCTGGCCAAGCCCACCCACAACACCATCATCCGCCTCGCTCCCCCCCTCACCATCTCGTGCGTGCCCTCTCATTCTCGCTCATGCCCTGCCTCTCTCATCTCATGCCCTGCCTCTCTCATCTCATGCCCTGGCTCTCTCATCTCATGCCCTCGTGCTTTCGCCCATTCATTTCCTCACTCATTCACCCCCTCACTCATTCATCCCCTCACTCATTCACCCCCTCACTCATTCATCCCCTCACTCATTCACCCCCTCACTCACTCATCCCCTCATCCCCTTACAAATCCGTTCCCTCGTGCCCCCATGCTGTCATCGCTCCACCTGCTGAAGCCCTGTCAATTGTACGGCCGTCTCGTGTTTTGCAATCTAGCACTCTTTACTCTTTCCTCATCCACTATCCATACCCCCAACACCCCCACACACCTGACCACCCCACCTGCTGCATGGCACGGGCATGGGCATGGCAGGGAGGAGGAGCTGGGGCGGGCAGCAGCAGCGCTGGAGGCGGTGTTGGGGGAGGACATGCCGCGCCTTGTGGCGCAGGCTGCTGCTGCAGGCGCCGACAACAAGACGCACAGCAAGGAGCCCTGCGACCGCTGCGGCCGTGTGCGCTGAACATGCCATGTCATGGACTCACATCACATGGTGCTTGGAAGTGCTCCATAACGTAGAGACAGAAGCAGTGCTTCTACCAATTTTGACTGCTCCTATGTATGCATAGCAGGCCCTCAGATTGTTTTAGGGGCACGCTGATCACTCAGTGTGCCTAGCAGGTAAAACTCTGTTATTCAGTGGCGTCTAAGGCCAAAACACTGAAAAACAAACAGCCTGATTAATCTAACAAGAAATGATTACATGTTCAAACAGCCTTAAACAAACAGTGTTTCACATTACATGCACAGCAAGGGGCGGCTCCCATTCTCTTGGTTGAGGGGCAGGTATCGTAACTCCTGTCTCCACCAAAGCAGTAGTAAAACGTACAGGCTAGAACTGTAGCAGAATATAAGAATATAGAGGAACTTAAAAGTTTGCACTGGAGTAGATCAACTATGGATATTCAGTATTCAGCCAGGACAGAGCAGAGGTCGGTAGAGCAGTGGAGTGCAGTGTGTCGATCCCGTCTTGCTGTCACTGCACCTGCTGCAGCGCATCACTGGGCAGTGCAACGTGCCAGAGGCTGCCGCCTCTCCGCTCCCACTGGCACATCACCACTTTTGCCCGCCTTCCCCCTCACCACCCCATTCTCATTCTCAATCCCACTTGCCCTCTGCGTTCCCGGCCGTCCTCTCACCGGCCTTGTGCCCTTGGTGCAACTGCCACTCTCCACATCACTCCCATCCCACTCTCACCCCAGCTCTCACTCTCACTCTCACTCTCACTTCCATCCCCACTCCCACTCGCAATCTCACCCTCACCCTCACCCTCACCCTCACCCTCACCCTCCTCACCCTCACCCTCGCTCTCACTCTCACTGCCATCATCAAGCACGAAGCGCCTCTGCCTGGCACCGGCACGCCGAGCGGGCATGGCAGCAGGCAAGGGCGAGGGCGAGGGCAGGAGGAGGTCGTCACTCAGCGCCGATGCAAAGGACGTGGCGTCACTGCCCACTGACGCCGCAGGGGAGCCCTCCGCCCCCCGTGCTGCAGGGGAGGCGTCATCCCTTGGTGCTGTGCGGCCCACACTGGGGCTGTCAGCGTGGAGCCCTGCCGCCATGCACACGCTCTCATTCTCCAACACCTCTTCCACCTCCTCAGATATGCTCTCTGCCTCCTCCTTGGGCTGCACGCGCTTGCTGTGTGTGCCTGCCACCCCCGGCACCACCTCCACCACCTCGATCACGTCTTGAGAGTCTGAGTCGGTGGAGATGGAGATGGGCGCGTCCCTGCCACCACCACCACCACCACTGCTGCTGCAGCTACTCCTGCGCCTCCTCACAGCAGCTATCACGGACGCCACTCGCCGTGGCCCACTAGTCTGCTCCTGTGCCCGCGCGTCCCTCTGGTGTCTGCCCACTGACGCCCTGTACTCCTCCTCGCTTCCACTCTCACTTCCACTCCCATACTCCTCACTCTCACTGCTCTCGCTCTCCTCCTCACTCCCACTGCTGTGAGCCTCAGGCGGCACATCTGCTGCCGTGCTCTGTCCCTCCCTACCCACTTGCTCCACCCCCTCCCCTGCATCCACTCCCTCACTCTCCCCAACCGCTGCCTCGCCGACCGCGGGTCTGCCGGCGCTGCTGTGACCTCCCAGCTGCTGCTTGAGGCGGCTGTTGGCCACTGCCTTGCACTGCCGTGAGGGGCGAGCAGAACGCTGCACCGGTGTGGCGGGGTTGGGGCTGCACAAGGGGGAGGTGCGGCGGGCTGGCGCTGTGCAGGCACGGGCGAGAGGCACGGGCGAGAGGCATGGGGGAGAGGGAGCAAACAGGCAAGCAATGAGAAAGGAGTGTTGGCGTGGCCGTGCCCTCGCAGCAGGTGGTGCATGGCGCAACAACCCACAGGCTTGTGGGAGTACAAGCAGCACGTGTGGAAGCACAAGCAGCATACGGAGCAGCGTACCTGGTGGCTTGCCTCGTCGCCTCCTGCCTGGCGGAGAGCATCCCTCCATGGCAGATGCACCACTCTGCCCTGCCTCTGACGCACTGGCTGCATCGCCATCCACTGCAAGCAGGGCACACATGGCAGCACAGCACAGCACAGCAGAGCACGTAAAGGTGAATCACACAATGCATCCACACCTGCTGCTTCTACGGCTCAACACAGAAATCCCCCTTATCTCCGCATCCCCCATGCCTTTATTCCCCACCCATGCCTCCCCAATCTCCCCCCCACACGCTGCTCATCTTCCCCCTTCCTCCCCCTCCCCCCTCACCGCGCTGCAGCAGCTGCTCCAGGCGCTCCAAGGGCAGCTCCTCGTCCGGAGTGGCGTCCAGCGCCCTCAGCCGCGCTGCCAGCTGCTCCACCAGCCGCTGCGCCGCACGCTGCCCCTGCACTGCCTCCGCCACCCTGCCACCGGACCAGGCGCGCGGGGGAGGGGGAGGGGGAACGACGGGTTCAGAGTGGGGCGCGTGTGAGTGGTGGTGGTGGGTGATGGGCGGGAGCATTATATTGGATGGGATTCGCAGGTGAGTGGTGGTGGGTGCAGAGCTGCAGGACTGGGACAAGGAGTGCCTTTTCTGTTGTCTGGAAATGGCAAGAGCATTGAACGGATGCTCTGGTGATGGGAAGAGTCTTACATGGGGAGCAGCGAGCGCAGGCATTTGACGTCGTCGTGCTGGGAGGCTCTGAGCGGCACCTCCACCAGCAGGTGCACCAGGTGCGCACTGTACGCCCTCCCGCTCGCACTGCCTGACGTGGCCAGTGGGGAGGATAGGATCTGGGGCGGATGGGGAAAGAGCATGACATGTGGGGTGATTGAGGCGTGCAAGACAGCACGTTTGTGGCACAGCACACAGGGCTCAGCATCACAGCAGAGCGTGCGGCAGTGCGGGTAAAGGGAGAGAGTGAGATAGAAGGGCTGAATGGCCGTTGGCGGAGGTGCACACGAGGGCAGCAGAGTGGGAAGGGAACCCACCTCAGCAGCAAGATCAAGAGCCAGAGACTCGAAGCCCACCGCTGGCTGTTCCACGCGGCTGCTCTCACCCACTCCACTATTCTCGCCCTCACCATCACCACCACCTGCTGCTCTTCCCTCGGCCTCCTCCTCTCCCTCCTCCGCTCTCTCTCTTTCCCCCTCCCCCTCGCCCTCTCCACTCTGCTTAGGCGGCACGACCCCGTGGGCGCCATGAGCGAGCATGAGGGAGAGAAGCAGCTGCGAGGCACGCACTGCAGGCTGCCGCGCTGCTGCTGCCGCCTTGCGCGGCCACAATTGCCGCAACACTGGCAGCAGCAGACGTGACGCTGCCACCTGGACAGGGATGACAGGGAGGGATTCGTGGACAGGGAGTGAACGGGGAAGAGTGAGTGAGGGAGGAGTGAGGTGCCACAGCGACAGACTGTCAAAGGAAGTGAGGCTACCAGAAAAAGCAGTAGTTGGCTATCAGCGTGGGGTTGGTGGCGTACCTTGCAGGCTGGCAGCACGGCCACTCGGTTGAACAGCTCTGCTAGCATTTGACGCGTCCTGTGAGGCACGAGCGAGGAGGGGGGGTGGTAGGGGAGATGATGAGGAAAAGGCATCTACGGAGTATTCACACCATAGAGCAGACCCAGAGGGAAAGACAAGCCAGAGGAGTCGTTGTGGGACAATCGTTTCCAGAGATACCCACACACACGTCGCCACGCACCTGGGCAGCTCGTCTTCAGCGGCGCCCGGGCACAGGTACACCTGCACCAGCACCTGCAACACTCGCTCCACCCTGCCCTCAGCCCCCCTCTCCGCGCCCTTCCCTACGGCCCTGCTCGCGTCTGCCAGCAGCAGCTTGCTCAGCCCCTCGCACACCACGCCCACCACGCCCTCCGCCTCTTCCTCGTCCTCCCCCTCCGCCTGTCGCCCTGCGCGCTGCACGTCCTCCCTCACCCCCTCAATGTCCACCTGTCCGCCCTCCAGCGGCACCAGCCCCACCAGCACGTCCACGCTCCCCTCCGCCACCTCCGCCACCCTACCTCCACGCGCTCCTCCTGCGCGCTGCGCCTCTTCCCCCGCACTGCACCCGCTCACCGCACTCCCCTCGCCCTCGTCGCTAAGGGCGGGCGCAGCGATGTCGGGCAGCAGCGCGGCGGGGCGGTGCCAGAGCAGCAGGTCCGCGAGGGCGCGCACGGCCGCCATCTGCACGCCGGGGTGCGCGGAGTCGCGCGCGGCGGCGTGCAGCAGAGGCAGTTGGGCGCGAGCGGACGGCGCGTGCAGCATGGCGAAGGCGTGCAGCGGGCCGACGGCCTCAGCGCGCACCAGTGGTGACGGGTGCGACGCCTGGCAGCACAGGAGGGGGGAGGGAGGAAGCGGGAATAATGTTTGAGCACATGGGTCACGGAGAATGAATGCAGTCATGGGCGCAGTGCAGCGAATGCGTGCACACCGTCGTGGGGCAGCGCGCGCGCGTACCGCGGGGACGAGGATGCAGTTGAGCGCCTCCTGCGGCTCCACGCGCAGGTTCCTCCACGCCCTGAACGCTCCGCCGCCTGCCGACTTGCAGCACAGCCGCAGCACCATGCGCGTCGCCGCCACGCACCGCAGCCACTGCCCCTCGCTCACACCATCCACACCCGCCACGCCCGCCATCATCGGCTTGCTGACGTCAGCCAGAGCGTCGACGAGAGCAGCGAGCACGTCAGCATCCGAGGCGTGCACGCGCTGCGCCAGCCCCAGCAGAGCCTCGCCCCACCTGCCGTCTGCCACGCCCTCCTCCCACTCGTCCTCCGCCTCGGCGCTCTCCTCCCCCGCCCCCTCGCGCGCCGGCTGCGCGCCGACGAGGTGGCGTTGCACGAGCGCGGCGGCGTGCGCGCGGATGGTGGCGTCGGTGAAGTCGAGTACCGCCGCCAGCTGCATCAGCTGCCGCGCTGCGAACCGACCCTCGGACCCTGCGCGAGGAAAAAGAGGCATAGGTTACACGTCGGAACAAACGGTCAGAGGCGGTCCTCATACCCCTGCTTTGGTGCTGAGCTAATGGCCCCGTACCTGCTTGCATGTGCGTCTCCAGCAGCGTCAGGTAGTCCTGCGCCGTGGCTGGCAGCAGGGCCTCCAGCTGCGCGTTCAGGTCGCTCGCTGCTTCTGCTGCCACCACCGCTGCTGCGCCAGCGGATATTGCGGCATTTGATCCGTTCTCCTGCAGCAATATGAGGACACGCAACGTCAGACCCACGTCGTCTTCAAGGCGAACGACAGCAAGCGCGAATTCAGCAAGTGGGAAAAATGCAAGCACGTGAGAAGCAAGAGCAGGAGCGAACTGACATTGGCCTGCGCGGAGAGGTGCAGGCACAGCATGCGCCAAAAGAGCGCCTCCTCCGCCGTAAGCAGCCCTGCTGCTGCTGCCTCCTCCGACCTCCCTGCACCAACCACGAGGGGAGGAGAGACATGAGACTCGCCGCTGGAGCGAAATCACAATCTCTGTGATTCACACGTTAATCTATCTTTCATGTAATTCACTCTCTTCGTCGCGACCACGTGCTATGCGACCTAGCCTGGTTCGATGCATGTGGCTCGGCTCCTAACATTTCCTCCAAGAACTTGCCTTCTGCAGGAGTGGACATCTGCTTGACAGCGGCACGCAGCCCCCCTTCAGGCACGACCAGCTCCATGTCGCCGCACCCCGCGCTGTGCGCCTGCAGGACCTCCCGCACCGCCGATTCCGCCACCGCCTCGTGGCTCTCCGCGTCCACGTGTCGCAGCAGTCGCACCAGGTCGCCCTCGCAGTCGCGCGACAGCCACGCGCGACACAGTAGCTCCACACACGCCGACCGCACCGTCGGCGACCGGTCGCCCAGACCCTGCGACAGCAGCTGCACTCGCTGCCGGATGCTGCGACGGATACACACACACACGCCACGCCATAGAAACAAAAAATCAGCTCCACGACAACCGTGGCTAGTGCAGTGGTGGGAGCGCACCTGAAGCTTTCGATGGGAAAGAATCTCTCGGCGAAGGACTTGTACGCCGCGGCTCTGACCCGCTCGCTGACGTCCGCCGTGCGCTCTAGAATGTCGGGAATGGTGCTCGTGGACTCCGGCAGCGACCACACCATCGCCTCGCGCACCTCCTGCACCACGCGCAACCAAATGTATTTCCATTCAGGCACCACGCTAATAGCCATCTTCATGACAACTCATACAGATTCGCAGTTTCAGAGGACAATGGCAAACGGGTGTCCAGAGAGTGGAGCATACGAATGACGAGGCTTACGGAGCTCGACTCGGTCTTCATCTTCTCGCGGAATAACCCGATGGTCGTGTCCACGTCCACCCCGCCATCTTCCTCGAATGTCACCATGCGCTTGAGCGCCCTGGCGGCCCACGCGCGGATGACGGCGATTTTGTCGTCCATTCGGCAATGCAAGAACTCGCGGATGATCACGATGGCGTCGGCTGACAGACTGAAGCTGCCGGGCAACGAATTCAGCACCTGCAGGATTCAAAATAACTTGAGACGCTGAGAGCAAGACCTGAAACGTTTAGATTAAGGCCTGATATGCTTACTTTAAGACCAGAAACGCTTTGAATAAGACCAGATTGAGTTCTGCAATAACATATCATCTTGATCGGAACGGGAGAGAGTGGCATACCTCCGAGAGCACTCTGGTGACGTTGACCCGCACGGCCTTGCTGCGCGCCTCGCTGTACTGCGAGAAAAGGCACAGCAGCTCCTCCATTATCTCCCGTTCGCCCTCGCTTCCCTCTGCGACCAATACGCCGAGGAATGTCTTGAAGAACCGAAGCACCTTGTCGCCAGGGCTGCCGGCTTTCGTGCTGAGGAGAGCGGGTCGAATGACATCAACAAAGGTCGGCGAGAAATCGTCTCGGTGTTGGCGAACACACTGGAGGAGAAGCAAACTGTTTCTATGGTGAGACGCGACTGATTCCTGACACTCGTTCAAGACTCTCGGTATAAGCGACTCTGGTGGGTCTACAGCTCTCCTACTTCCTCCCTGCATGCTTCCTGTTGCTTTCGTCATCTTGCTAACTAGAGTATACAGATTGCGCGCTTCGAAGGTTGACCTCAATAACTAACGACTAGCTTATTCTGACACTTGGCTCATGATACGCAAAGAGTTGCTGAGGGGAAAGCTCAAAGCTTGGATGGATGAAGAGATGGAATCTGGAATCTGGAAGAAATGTACAGCTTCTTGATGACCTCGGCAGAGGAAAGAGGAGCAGGAAATAGGTGTAGGGACCTTGGGATTGGCTGAGTCGACGCGCTCTGACACTTTCAAACTTCGAAGTTCTGTCCCGCCTCGAGAATTTCCCGCCAGCCTGAGAGTGGAGTGCTACAGTGATACCAGCAACACCGTATTTGACAATATAAACCAGCCCTCAGCTCCATAACTGAAACATGATTTGAAGAAAACATATATGAATGCTTAGTATGCTGGCAAAAACAGTGATTTACCAATAGTCCTAGGTGCTAAATAAATAGCTCTACTCACTAGACTAAGGATCACAAAGCCTACAATAAACTAACAGCTTAAAAGGTCAACTCAAGAGAACTTCAGAGTATGCAGTTGGGCACCTCATTAGACAAGCTGTCATGAGGCTGTCTCGTCCAGTGCCTGCATGCGCGTAAGGGGTAAGATTTAGCAGCTCCAGTTATGGCAGTTCAGCATCAGAGTCAATTAGGGTAGTTTAGTCTGCCTCCAGTTTATGCAGCTGCTCCAACGTATGTCATTTCCTGGAAAATGCGGAGGCGGCGGGGCCTCTTGACCTCCACGTGGGAGCTGCCTGCAGTGGGGCTGATCAGAGTGGTGGCAGCAGCAGCACCGCTCACCACAGCAGCAGCCACAGTATCAGCATTGTCAGCAAACAGCGTGCGTCGCTCGCCGCCCTGCTGCCTGTCAGCAGACCCAGCGGAGGCGAGCAGCTTCTTGGCACTGTCGGTGGCCTTGAGTTCCTCCAGCAGCAGCTTGTCAGGGCTGCCTGTGAACCCCAGCATCTCCCACAGCGCCCTCGGCACCACCGGCCCGCCCTCCTGCGCTCCACTCGCGTCTCCTCCCTCTGCGTCGCTCCCTCTCTCTCCCTTGGGAGCAGCAGCCTTCACTGGGGTCGGCACTCTGTTTCTCTTCATTCCCGATCCCCCCATCTCTTGCCCCGCCACAGACTGCTGCTGCTGCACCTGCTGCTGATCCTTGGCCTTCTCCCCCTCACCCATGCTTCCCCCCTCTCCAGGCACTCCCCATGCAGGTCCCCATGCGCCCTTCCCCTGCGCCACAGCCCCCCATGCGCCCATGAACTGCGCGGGGGGCTCGAGGTTCGTGCGCTCGCCCATGACCGTCGTCATGCCCATCCCTCCGCCCATCTCCGCGCCCATCTGCATGCCCATGTTGCCCCCGCCCATCAGCCCACCCGCCACCATCTGCGCCTTCGCCGCCATTGGCGCAGGGTTCTCGCACCCGAACACCAGCGGCCTCCGCGCGCCAGGCCCGCCCGCGCCGATGGGCGCACCCCCCGCCATGTACTGCGGAACGTTCTCTGTGCCCCTGTATAACGCGCGCTGCCCGGGCGCGGGGAATCCGCCACCCTTGCGCATTGCGGCAGCGAGGTGCGCCGAAGCGGGCGGCTTCTGTGATGCCCAGACCCCCGCAGCAACGGAGATAGCCGCAGCAGACGGCTGGTAACTGTCGGTGGGCATTTCGCAGAGCACGTCGTCGTCACTCTCGAACGCTGACATCATAAGTCCGTCATCCCACGACGCGGCGCCAAAGCTCGAGGAGCACGAGAGCGAGCCGCTTGACATGGGACCCAGCGGCGAAACCAACGACGGCGACGCCGCCGCATGCGCGAATCCCGCCGTGGGAATTTGCAACGGGGGGAGCGAGCGGGAGGCGGTGAGCGTGCGCCGGCCGTCGCCAGGGGGAGGCGGGGGCGGAGCACCGTGCATGAAGGGCGGAGCGGAGCCGTGGCCGGGGGGAGGAATGGGGCCGAACGACCCGGGCATGAACTCGGGCGCGTTGGGCTTGAGACACGACAGCCCCCCGCGCGCATCCGCTCCGCCGAAGCTCATGGAGCGCGCGAGCGGGTTGCCGCACCCCGCGCCCATGCTCATTGTCCGCGCCATAGCGCCGGTCGCTGGCGGCCTCCGCATGCACTGCAGTTGCGCCTGCAGCGGCCGCTGCTGCTGCTGCTGCGGCGGCGGCGCATCCGGCGGTCCCCGCGACTGCATGCCCGCGATGCCCGAAGAACCGCCTGCGGCGCCTTGTGGAGCTGCCGGCGCTCCTTCCGCAGTTGCGTTCCCCACGGCGGCGCTGCTGTCAGCCACGAGCGAGTCCCACATGTCGGGCGCACCCAGGAACTCGCACAGGTACGACGAGTGCCGCTGGAACGAGCTGCGCGCCAAGCCCATGCCCATGCCCATGCCACCCATGCCGCGAAACGCGGGCTTGACTTGCGGGAGCTTGTCGGACGAGACCCCATCGCCGCTGGGTGCTGCGGACGGCGCGGAGGCGGAGGCGGCGGATTTACCGCCCGTGTCACTGGCGCTAGCGTCCTCCCCGCCGCTGGTGCCCGCGCTGGCAGCTGCGCCATCCTTGGCCGATTCGGCCGCCGCCGCTGACGTCTCGAGCTCCACGAGCATGCTCTGTGCGCGCTCGTACGACTGCCATGGCGGCACGTGACGAGAAAGAGACGAAGGAAGGTTGGAAACGAGCGTTGAGACAGAATGCAAGACGGGTGGATGGGTGGAGGGCGAGACACGAATTTGATGAGCAATGCGAGAGACCAAGAGGCATCTTAGGCTCACCTTAATGTGCGACTCGGATCCCCAACGCGGGTCGCTGTTGGGCGACACGGACTCGAGCAACGCGCGCGCCTCGACGATGCGGGCCTGCTTCATGAGGCAGATGCCGAGGTTGCACACCTTGTTGCTGTCCGCCTCCACGCGCAGCGCCTTGCGATACACCGACTCCGCCGCCACATAATTTCCCAGCTGCATGTACGCCCACCCCAGATTCCCCAACAGCCGCGTCGCCTCCTGCTCGATCGACACCTGGAACTTCTTCCCCTGGGACCTCGCCGTCTTGGTGCGCTTGCCGTTGAATGCGACGCCCTGGCGGATCATGTCGAGCTTGTGCTTGAGCAGCGCCACCTGGTCGTCGAGGCGCCCGCAGCGCTTGAAGAGGTCCAGCAGCACGTTGTCGAGTGACTCCTGCGCCACCTCGGAGCACTTGTGGCGCAGCGAGCGGATGGCCTCGATGGCCTCCTCGGGGCGGTTCTGCTGCTTCATCACGATCGCCATGTCCTTGAGCGCGCTGTCCACGCGGTCGCCCGCGTTGATCGCCGACCAGAACAGCGCGATCGCGCGCACCGGGTCCTTGTCCACCAGCTGCGCGCAACCAGGGGGAGGGGGGGGGAAGAAGTGTTGGGGGAAGCGAGGGTAGGGCGGAGGGACGGGTGAGAAGGCGCATTGCGGGATGGGAAACGGTACTCCTGTGATAAATGCTAATTTACAACTGTTTCTGGTCCGGTTCGTACCTGGACGTGTTTCGCGCGGACATAAGGCGAGTCGCCGACGGGGACCTTGTGGATGACGTGGAACGCGTCGTTCGACTTGCCCTCCTCGCCCGCCATGCTCCACCCCGCACTCCCGTCGTCGTCGCCCGACGCGGAGCTCTCAGCGTACGCGCTGCCCGCGTCGGACGCTATCGAGCCGGCGTCGGCGCTGCCTGCTCGCCGCGCGAAGGGCGGCGGCTTGGACGGAGAGGTGGGGGCGGACTGGCATCCGAACGACGTCTGCAACTGACCGTTAGAGAATCCCGACTGCTGTTGCTGATGCTGCTGTGGCTGCTGCTGTAACTGCTGCTGTTGTTGCTGCTGTCTGGGTGCGTGGAACGAGTGTGCGTTCTGAATTCGACCGTACGGGCCATGCGGGCCTGACGCGGCGCCGGCAGCACCGTTGTGAAAGCCGTGCCGGGGAGGGTAGCAGTCGGGCCACATTGCACGCGGAACGCCCGCTACTCTGCGCCCTCACTACACTCCTGGGCTTTGCGCTGCCTGATACAAGTACGTGGTGCTAATGCTGGTTTGTCCTCATGGATAGCGCAAGCAGTTTCTTGGAGAAGCTGGTATTAGAGATTTAACTTCGGACGAATTCGCGCCTGATTCGTAGCAGCGTGGAGAAATATGGGTTGAAGTTGCAGTTATGTTATGATGCTGTTTTGGCGTGACAAAGGTGAGGTGATGGTGGTGTTTGGCTTCGGGGTGCCTGCTAGGCATGTATCGAAACGAATGCTACGAGTGACGGCAGCGGGAAATGTGAAAGCCTCCAAACTGGCCCACGAAAGCGCGTCAATGTATGCCTTCGCCGACAGATCTCGTCGGTCACTGGACGATCTTGTAAACGACTGAGCGACGATGGTGGAACGATGAATAGAATGAAGAATGAGGGGTAATTTAGTCGGCGCCACTTTGTCGCATGGCCGTAGACTTGTCATCCATCGTCTCAGCGACAGCAGCGATTTCGTTTGCGCTGCGATGGGAGCATCATCCATCAACTCGTGTGACTCAACGCGGCGCTCGGGACGTGCCGCGCGCTTTTGATTCCAAAAAGCCCTAACGGCGCGACACAATGCGACGTGCCTCGCCCAACTTTCCTATCAACTTTCGCAAGTCGCACAACTTTGACGATGAATTTTCAATTGGAGTCGCAGGACTGATTTTGCTTGGAGCGAAGCCTAGCGCGGGCAGAAACCCCGACTATGCGAACGGTTGCGACCATTCCCAGAGTTGGCGAACGGTTGGCAGTACAATAAAGATGTCGTTGGGTGAAAGAAACATGCTTACGACATGTGGCGGCGACCATTGGGTGAAGTTTTTGACAAAATCTCGTTGACGAGTTTGACGCTGACATGGGCATGCATTATGCTGCCCGTAGGCGGCTTATGGATCGCTACCAAACAAATAAAGTTTCAAACATTTTGTTCTCCGAGCCGTCATCTGTCAACGGTCGGCAGTAAGGCTGCGGGAAAATCTTTCCCGCGCGAAGGCGCACCCCTAACAACCGCAATGCTTGACAAGTAAGGCTTCGATAACGCAGAAGTTCAGTTTGGCTAGAGATACAAACGATTGCCATTGGAAAAACATATATAAAGAGAGCCATTGTACTACAAACAGAAACATACATCGCATCGAAGTTCCCTCACGGTATCTATGACGAACAGTGGAGCAGCATCAAAAAGCAGGTTACGTAATGTTGAGGACCCCTGGCACGATAACAGGCTGAAATGGACACAGTTGCAAGGAAACATGAAAGGACCCTCAAGTAAACATGTGGAACAAAACAATCTGCATGCAACAATCTCCTAACACAAATCTCACTAACAAGTGACAGCCACAAATGTACCTGGAGGTGCCAGATGTCCCGTGCGTATTCGGCAATGGTGCGGTCACTGCTGCATCGGCCCATCATTGATGCTGCTATCTGCAATGAGACGTGGCAGGAGGAAGCATGATGGACAGGTGGTAAGAGAACCTGAAAGAGGAGACACACAAAGAACAGGCACTGAGAGCAACACTCAACACAGTAATGGAGGACACATCAAGCAAGTAGACGATCCAGAAGCCTGGACAAGCGCATGAGGGGGGATGGTGGATGAAAGGTGGAGAACAAAGGAAGGATGGAGGACAGAGGATGCATCTGGATGGTGTGAGTAAGGAGGCGGGCAAGGGAGAGGGCATACAATGGAGCGGCGGCACCACTCAGTGGGGTTGAGGAAGAGCGTGTCCACTGAATGCTGCTCACATGCTCACATGCACACATGCACCCATGACACACATGCGCACACGCACCCATGCACACATGCGCACATGCACCCATTCACACATGCACACGTGCTCAATGCACCCATGCACACATGCACACATGCTCACATGCACCCATGCACACATGCGCACACGCACCCATGCACACATGCGCACATGCTCACATGTACACATGTACACACATGCACACACACAGGGGATGGATACTTAGGGAATAGGCATGGCTGGTTTGGAAGGGACAAGTCAAGCCAGATTCCAGCTTTCCAGCTGCCATGACCTGTGAAGCGAGAAGAGGCAAGGAGCGCAGGTGCAGATGGTGCCAGTGCTGCATAGAGAGGGATCATGGATGACAGGTAGGTGGCACCTGGGAGGAAGGCATGGATGGGGGATGCAACACCTGGGGGGAGCGACAGGGTTTCGGGTTTGGGGTGAAGGCACCTAAACCGTGCCTTCAACCCTGAGGGTGAAGGCATGGACGAGGGAAGAGTTGCACCTGGGCGTCGAGGTAGGAGGGCCAGTCGTGGGAGAGCAGGAAGTAATCATTGCCGCCGCCCAGCGACTCCAGCAGCGGCCGAAAGTCGTCTGCCAGCCCAAACACCCCCGCCTCGATCGTGCGCACCACCTTGGGGAGAAGGGCGGGTTGGGGATGGTTGGGGGTTCCAGTTAGTTTGTGGAGCGCATGTCCACAGTCGCTCCCTACCACCCTGTATTCCAAGCCAGCATCCACCTGGCCATTGGCATACCCCTTCCCATGGCAGCACGGCTGCAGCATCCTGGAAAGAACGCCCCCCTGCCAGCATGGCAGCAGCACCTGAAGGAGGCTGCATGACAGCACGGCAGCACAGCAGCAGGAAATCCGCACTGGCATGGCAGCAGCAGCAGCACGGGCATGGCAGCAGCAGCACGGGCATGGCATGGCATGGCAGCACCTGAACGAGGCGGTCGTCGTGGATGGGTTGGCGGAAGCGCAGCGAGTGGCGCAGCGAGTGCGTCTCGTGGGCCAGCGCACCAAACACAAACACGTTCTCGCGGCCAATGGCGTTGGCGATCTCAATGGTGGCGCCGTCCATGGTGCCCAGCAGCAGCCCCCCGTTGAGGGCAAACTTCATGTTGCTCGTGCCTGAGGCCTCCATTCCTGCTGTTGATATGTGCTGCGATATGTCACTCGCTGGCACTATCAGCTGGGGGGGGAGGTGAGAGGGAGGGGGAGGGTGCGGGGGGAAGGGAAAGAGAGGGGGAGGTGATGAAGGGGAGGGTGGGTTTGATTAAGGAGGAAGGTGGGGGAAGGTGGATGTGATTGAGATAAGGCTGAGGGTGAGGGGCATTGATGGCTGGAAGCTGTACGGGATGAGAGGAGGGAAGCAGCAAGGCGAGTGCGGATGCAGGTGAGGAGGGTGAGCGTGTGGGTGCAGGTGAGGGTGAGGGTGAGCGTGAGGGTGAGGGAGGGCACCTGGGCGAGGGAGACGCTGTAGTTGGGCAGAAAGACCACTTTGAGCAGCCCACTGATGTCCGGGTCGCTGTTCACCCTCGCCGCCACCCTGCCAGCATGGGGGAGGGAAGGAGATGCGTGGGAAGATGCGGGGAGGGGGGAGAGGGGATGAGGTTATTCGAGGCCAGAACAGTTTGTGGAGAGAGGATTAGGGGGGACACACAGGTGGTTGGCTAGGGTACTGTGGCAGTGGAGGGTTGAGGTGAGTGCGGAGAGTGGATGGATGGGGTGCCGCATGTGAGAGGCACCACGGGCACATGAGAAGGGAGAGAGCATTCTGCACAGACACACGTGCACAGCAAGACAACACACTCACGCGTTGATGAGGTGGATGACGCATTTGGCCCGGAAGTAGCCCGGCGCTGCCTTGCCTGCAATGACCACCACCCGTGGCACCATGCGCGCCCTCTCCTCAAAGCTGCTGCACTGCACGGTGGGGTGGGAGGGAGGGGTGAAGGGGGGGTATCAGTTCCACATGCGTGGCTGCTGCATGGTGCGTGCAGGGCACATGGCACATGCAGACACATGCACGGAACATGGTTCATGCAGGACAATTGTAGTGGTGCTGTTGTAGCGGTGAATGCACCTTGATGCTGTTGTAGCGGTGAATGCACCTTGATGCTGTTGCAGCGGTGAATGCACCTTGACGCTGTTGTAGCGGCGAATGCACCTTGATGCTGTTGTAGCGGTGAATGCACCTTGATGCTGTTGTAGCGGTGAATGCACCTTGATGCTGTTGTAGCAGCGAATGCACCTTGATGCTGTTGTAGCGGTGAATGCACCTTGATGCTGTTGTAGCGGTGAATGCACCTTGATGCTGTTGTAGCGGTGAATGCACCTTGATGCTGTTGTAGCGGCGAATGCACCTTGATGCTGTTGTAGCGGTGAATGCACCTTGATGCTGTTGTAGCAGTGAATGCACCTTGATGCTGTTGTAGCGGTGAATGCACCTTGATGCTGTTGTAGCGGTGAATGCACCTTGATGCTGTTGTAGCGGTGAATGCACCTTGATGCTGTTGCAGCGGTGAATGCACCTTGATGCTGTTGCAGCGGTGAATGCACCTTGATGCTGCTGTAGCGGTGAATGCACCTTGATGCTGTTGTAGCGGTGAATGCACCTTGATGCTGTTGCAGCGGTGAATGCACCTTGATGCTGTTGTAGCGGTGAATGCACCTTGATGCTGTTGTAGCGGTGAATGCACCTTGATGCTGTTGCAGCGGTGAATTCACCTTGATGCTGTTGCAGCGGTGAATGCACCTTGATGCTGTTGCAGCGGTGAATGCACCTTGATGCTGTTGTAGCGGTGAATGCACCTTGATGCTGTTGTAGAGGTGAATGCACCTTGATGCTGTTGCAGCGGTGAATGCACCTTGATGCTGTTGTAGCGGTGAATGCACCTTGATGCTGTTGTAGCGGTGAATGCACCTTGATGCTGTTGTAGCGGTAAATGCACCTTGATGCTGTTGCAGCGGTGAATGCACCTTGATGCTGTTGTAGCGGTGAATGCACCTTGATGCTGTTGTAGTGGTGAATGCACCTTGATGCTGTTGCAGCGGTGAATGCACCTTGATGATGTTGCAGCGGTGAATGCACATTGATGCTGTTGTAGCGGTGAATGCACCTTGATGCTGTTGTAGCGGTGAATGCACCTTGATGTTGTTGTAGCGGTGAATGCACCTTGATGCTGTTGCAGCGGTGAATGCACCTTGATGCTGTTGTAGCGGCGAATGCACCTTGATGCTGTTGTAGCGGTGAATGCACCTTGATGCTGTTGTAGCGGCGAATGCACCTTGATGCTGTTGTAGCGGTGAATGCACCTTGATGCTGTTGCAGCGGTGAATGCACCTTGATGCTGTTGTAGCGGTGAATGCACCTTTATGCTGTTGTAGCGGTGCTGGTCCAGTGGGCTACACACCTTGATGCTGTTGTAGCGGTGCTGGTCCAGTGGGCTACACACCTTGATGCTGTTGTAGCGGTGCTGGTCCAGTGGGCTACACACCTTGATGCTGTTGTAGCGGTGCTGGTCCAGTGGGCTACATACCTTGATGCTGTTGTAGCGGTGGATGACCGCCAGGATGTTGAGCAGCTGCCGCTTGTACTCGTGGATGCGCTTCGCATGGCAGTCAAACAGCGCAGCACTCTCCACCTGCCACCCATTGGTGTGGGAGAGAAGGGAAATGTTAGGGGTACGAAAAAGAAGAAATGCCGGGGGGGGTGTGGAGCCAGTATTAGCTTTTCTTATGTGCAGGGAGCCAGTGCGGGGATGATGGGAGCAGGGCAGAGACGCAACGTGCATGTGTGTCAAACGTGCATGTGTGTCAAACGTGCATGTGTGTCAAACGTGCATGTGTGTCAAACAGTCATTGCTGTCCACCTGTCACACACCCCAACACATGGTAATAGTTTGCCTGCATTCCCCCATCCCTCTTCTCTCCCTCCCCATCCCTCTCTCCCTCCCCATCCCTCTCTCCCTCCCCATCCCTCTCTCCCTCCCCATCCCTCTCTCCCTCCCCATCCCTCTCTCCCTCCCCATCCCTCTCTCCCTCCCCATCCCTCTCTCCCTCCCCATCCCTCTCTCCCTCCCCATCCCTCTCTCCCTCCCCATCCCTCTCTCCCTCCCCATCCCTCTCTCCCTCCCCATCCCTCTCTCCCTCCCCATCCCTCTCTCCCTCCCCATCCCTCTCTCCCTCCCTATCCCTCTCTCCCTCCCCATCCCTCTCTCCCTCCCCATCCCTCGCTCCCTCTCCCACCTGCACGCCACACGTCTTGCGAATATACAGCGCGAGCCGCTCCTTGTTGGCCACCTTGGCAGCGGTCCAGTCAGCATGCAGCGCGGGCGAGTTAGCGTGTGCCCGCAGCCCCTGGATGAGGGAGAGGTCCCGCACCCACTCGTCTGAGCCCAGCCACTTGGTGATCACCTGCATCAAGGGGAGAGGAGCGGGGGTTGGGACGGGGAAAGAAAAGTGTGGGCAGGCAAGCTGGCGTGCGCTTGCAGGCCCTGGATGAGAGAGAGCGCAGGGGGAAATAGGGGTGATGGGAGTGTAGGTGCGCGAGCTGGCATGTGCCCTCACGCTCTGGATGAGAGGCAGATTGATCCCAGCCACTTGGTGATCTGTTAGGCTGTTAGGCTGTTAGGCTCTTAGGCTGTTAGGCTATTAGGCTGTTAGGCTGTTAGGCTGTTAGGCTGTTAGGCTGTTAGGCTGTTAGGCTGTTGGGCTATTAGGTTCTTAGGCTGTTAAACTACTATTAGGCTATTAGGCTGTTAGGCTATTAGGATATTAGGCTGTTTAACTATTAGGCTATTAGGCTGTTGGGCTGTTAGGCTATTAGGCTATTAGGCTGTTAGGCTATTAGGTTGTTAGGCTATTAGGCTACTAGGCTATTAGGCTGTTGGGCTGTTAGGCTGTTAGGCTATTAGGGGTTGTTAGGCTGTTAGGCTGTTAATCTGTTAGGTTGTTAGGCTATTAGGCTATTAGGCTGTTAGGCTATTAGACTGTTGGGCTGTTGGGCTATTAGGCTGTTAAACTATTAGGCTATTAGGCTGTTAGGCTGTTAGGCTATTGGGCTATTAGGCTGTTAGGCTATTAGGCTATAAGGCTATTAGGCTGTTAGGCTATAAGGCTATTAGGCTGTTCGGCTATGAAGCTATTAGGCTGTTAGGCTATTAGGCCACTAGGCTGTTAGGCTGTTAGGCTATTAGGCTATTAGGCTGTTAGGCTATGAGGCTGTTAGGCTATTAGGCTATGAGGCTGTTAGGCTATTTGACTATTAGGCTGTTAGGCTATTAGGCTATTAGGCTGTTGGGATGTTAGGTTGTTAGGCTGTTAGGCTATTAGGTTGTTAGGCTGTTAGGATGTTATGCTGTTAGGTTGTTAGGCTGTTAAACTATTAGGCTGTTAAACTATTAGGCTATTAGGCTGTCAGGCTGTTAGGCTATTAAGCTATTAGGCTGTTAGGCTGTTAGGCTACTAGGCTATTAGGCTATTAGGCTATAAGGTTATTAGGCTGTTAGGCTATTGAGCTATTAGGCTGTTAGGTTGTTAGGCTATTAGGCTGTTAGGCTATTAGGCTGTTAAAATGTTAGGCTGTTAGGCTGTTAGGCACTTAGGCTGTAAGGCTATTAGGCTGTTAGGCTATTAGGCTATTAAGCTATTAGGCTGGTAGGCTATTAGGCTATTAGGTTAGGCTGTTAGGCTGATAAGCTATTAGGCTATTAGGCTGTTAGGCTGTTAGGCTATTAGGCTGTTAGGCTGTTAGGCTGTTAGGCTATTAGGCTATTAGGCTATTAGGCTGTTAGGCTGTTAGGCTGTTAAGTTGTTAAGCTGTTAGGCTGTTAAGCTGTTAGGCTGTTAGGCTGTTAGGCTGTTTGGCTGTTAGGCTTTTAGGCTGTTAGGATGTTAGGCTGTTAGGCTGTTATGCTATTGAGCTATTAGGCTGTTAGGCTGTTAGGCAATTAGGCTATTAGGTTATTAGGCTATTAGGCTGTTAGGCTGTTAGGCTGTTAAGTTGTTTAGCTGTTAGGCTGTTAGGCTGTTAGGCTGTTTGGCTGTTAGGCTGTTAGGATGTTAGGCTGTTAGGCTATTGGGCTATTAGGCTGTTAAACTATTAGGCTATTAGGTTGTTAGGCTGTTGGGCTATTAGGCTGTTAAACTATTAGGCTATTAGGCTGTTAGGCTGTTGGGCTATTAGGCTGTTAAACTATTAGGCTATTAGGCTATTAGGCTGTTAGGCTATTAGGCTATTAGGCTACTAGGCTGTGAAGCTGTTAGGCTATTAGGCTGTTAGGCTGTTAGGCTGTTAGGTTGTTAGGCTATTAGGCTACTAGGCTGTTAGGCTATTAGGCTGTTAGGCTGTTAGGCTATTAGGCATTTAGGCCGTTAAGCTGTTAGGCTATTAGGCTGTTGGGCTGTTGGGCTGTTAGACTGTTAGGATGTTAGGCTGTTAGGCTGTTAGGCTATCAGGCTATCAGGCTGTTAGGCTGTTACGCTGTTAAGGTATCAGGCTGTTAGGCTATTAGGCTGTTAGGCTGTTAGGCTGTTAGGCTGTTAGGCTGTTAGGCTGTCAGGCTGTTAGGCTATTAGGCTATTAGGCTGTTAGGCTGTTAGGCTGTTAGGCTGTTAGGCTATTAGGCTGTTAGGCTATTAGGTTATTAGGCTGATAGGCTAGGAGAAGGTGGAAAGCAGGTTTGGGGGAGGAAGTCACAGGACTGATTTGTCTAAAAAGAAAGAAATGGAAAACTTCACTTCTTTTCCCCACTCCCCACACACATCCCACCCAACCCCAGATGCCCCTTGACCTCCCCCAGACGCCCCTTGCCCTCCCCTCTTCACGTGCCTGTGAGAGCCGCGGATTGGCGAGCAGCAGCCAGCGGCGCGGGGTGACGCCGTTTGTCTTGTTGTGGAAGCGGGTGGGGAAGAGGTCAACAAAGTCTGGAAACAGCTGCGTGCGCAGCAGCGTGGAGTGCAGTTCTGCTACGCCGTTGATGGCGTGCGATCCAACGGCTGCCAGCACGGCCATGCGCACCATCTTGGGGTGACTCTCCTCTATGATCGACAGCCGTGCCATGCGTTGCCCCTCCCCCATGCACCTCGCCTCCACCTCCTGAGCAACAAGCACAGGAAGACACACGCACAGAGGACACGGGCACACACCAGGTCAAATCCAGGAGTACGGTTAGGACTTTTGAAACGCCTAGACTTGAGCATCGTGCCTGCACCTCGTGAAGCACGCAAGACCACCCGCACAGGCGCAGAGAGTAATGTAAGGAGCCAACCCAAGAACACACTGCCCCATGAGAGGGCGCCTGTTTCTTGAGCTGCCTGCATGGCTATTGCTGTGCTGTGGCACGATTGCGCTGGCCCCTCACAAGGTCACATGGTGGACTGCAGTGGACTCGAGATGCCATAGAGCTGACTGCTGGGTGCACACTCACCTGGAGGTGCCAGTGGTTGATTTCGAAGATCAGATCCATCACCCGCGGCAGCACTGTCTGCAGCAGAGGAACCGGCCAGCGCTCCAGCGCTTCGGGCAGCACGGTGTGGTTGGTGAAGGCCAGCAGCGCCACGGTGGCCCGCCAGGCATCGCCCCACTCCAGCCCGTGCTCGTCCAGCAGTAGACGCATGGCCTCTGGCACTGCTAGAGCTGGGTGTGTGTCGTTCAGCTGCACCGCTGCTGCCTCTGGGAGTGATGACACCGGGCGGCCTGATGTCACGTGCCGTGATATTATGTCCTGATGCGGAGGTGAGGGGAGGAGGAAGAAGAGAGTGGAGGACCATATGAGGCGTTTCTTCAGACCTCTCAGATCGCACCCACACGCGGACCCCATGGCAGGCCCCCATTCAACCCCTTCCCACCCACCTGCAGCGTGGTGGACACGAACAAATACTCCTGCTGCAGCCGCAGCTGCCTGCTCTCAGACCACTTTTGAGTCGACTCAAAAGTCACCTCAGTATAATGTCACACGGTGTGTTTTCTTCACGGAGAGCTATTATTGCTTGGAGGTTACCGCATAGAGTAGGGAATTTTCTTATTTCCGCTCATAAGAGTTAGATTACTTGTGCATGTTTGTACTGTACTGTTGTCTATACGTCCCCCCACCACCCAGGCCCCGCGTTGGAATGCCACGCGATGGAGCCCTAGGGGTTGGTATTTAGCGTAGTTTGCTTGCTCATTTTTTCCTTGTGGTCTGAAGAAGGCTATATGCCGAAACCGGTTACCATCAAACTTTTCTTCACAAGGTCTACAAGCAAGCACCTTTTACACTCATATTTTTACCTAAAAAACATAGTTGCTGCCACGTAAAGTCATGGCACCTAATTGGGGCCCACTCAGCTGCCTGCTCTCAGACCACTTTTCACATGCCTCAGAATGCACCTGCAGCACAGCACAAGTAACGACCGCGCCCTCTCCACCCACCCCCCCCCCCCCCCCCACCTTCTAAAGAACCCACCTGCAGTGTGGCGGAGACGAAGAAGTATTCCTGTTGCAGGCGCAGCTGGCGGCCCGCCTCGCTGCTGTCCTCGGGGTACAGCACCGCACTGATCGCCTCCGCCCTCGCCGCCCCGCCCACCGCCTCCACGTGCCGCCCCGCGTTGAATAAGGACAAGTCGAAGCCGCCCGAGAGCGGCTCACTGGTGGGACAGGCAGGGATTGTCAAGAGAAGGGGGAAGCATGCATGGGGACTCGTTCACATACATGGGGACTCGTTCACATACATGGGGACTCGTTCACATACATGGGGACTCGTTCACATACATGGGGACTCGTTCACATACATGGGGACTCGTTCACATACATTGGGACTCGTTCACATACATGGCACCAACCAAGGAGTGCACCGCACCGCACAGCACAGCACAGCACAGCACGGTACGGAGCACGGCAGCACAGCGCAGCACACTCTGCTCCACAGAGCCCCCGTCCCAACTTCACTCCTCCCTTCCCTCCCACCCTCCCTCTACCTCTCCTCCCCCTGCCCCCTTCCTCTTCTCCCCATCCCCTCGCTCACCAGCGCCAGAGGCGGAGGCGGTTGACGGAGGCGGACTTAAAGCCCGGCACGGGGATGTCGCTCGCCACCGCCTCCACCTGCTCGCCGCCCTCCCACCGGTACCGCGTGCGCGTGCCCTCCACACGCACCGCCACGTGGCCAAAGAAGCGCACGGCGTGGCGCACGTGGGGGCGCGGGATCTCCCAGGGGCACCCCCACGGGTGCAGCCACGCGTCCGGCGCCTCCTGCTGCCTCAGCGCCGCCACCCGCTGCTCAAACATGCCGTAGCGGTACCGCACCCCGTAGCTGCTTGGGGAAAGGGGGTTGGGAGGAAGGGGGCAAGTAGAAAGAAAGGAGGAAGTGGGATTATATGGCCCGTCTGTGTCATGCGCTGCTCTAACATGCCGAAGCAGTACCTCACTCCGTAGCTGCTTGGGGGGAGGGCAGGGGAAGGGCAGGCAGCAAGAGAGGAGGGAGTGGGAATGTATGGCCTGTCAATGTCACGCGCTGCTTAAACATGCCGTAGCGGCACCGCACTCCGTAGCTGCGTGGGTGGGGTGGAGCAGGCGAAGGGCAGGAGCGAGTGGGAGCACATGCCACATGGTGGCAGGGAGGGTGGTGGCAGCACTGATCGCCAAGCATGCACATTCAGCCCAGTACTCCAGCAGCAGCAGCAGCAGCAGCGGAGCTTACCCCCAGGCGGGGAGGTTCAGAGTGGTGAGGGAGTCGAGGAAGCATGCAGCAAGGCGGCCCAGCCCGCCATTGCCCAGCGCCGGGTCGCGCTCCTCCTCTGCCGCCTCCTCCATGCTCACCCCCAGCTGCTGCAGCGCTGCGCTGTACTGCTCCTGTTGTGTGGGGGAGGTGGGGTGGGATGGGAGAAAAGGGGGTGGGGAGGGGCGCGCTCCTCCTCCACTGCTTCCTCCATCGACACGCACAGCTGCTGTACTGCTCCTGTTGAGGGGGAAGAAAGAGAAGAGGAGGGAGCAGGTGGGTGCGAGAAGTGGGGTGGGAAGTGGGGGGGCAAGGAGAAGGTGGTGGGGGGGGGGGGGGGGGGTGGAGATGAGGGGGTTGCTGCACGGGGAGCAGCGGGAGTGAGGCGGTAACAGGGTGCGGTGGAGAAGTTGCACGTGTGTGGAAGGGCGCGTGAGTGGGGCATGTGTTGACGGTTCGAAACGAGGACGGATCAAGGGAGAGCGAGGGCGAGAGTGCAGCGGGCTTACATCGAGGCCGAGGCATGTGACTGCCAGCTGCAGCATCCGCCCTATAAGGTACTCCATTGATAGATAGTACACCCGCTTGCACCCCTGCTCGCCGCGCACGCGCACGCGCACGCTCACACGCACACGCACACGCACACGCACACGCACGGAGAGAGGGCGAGAGAGGGCGGGAGGGGAAGGGAAAGAGGAACATTTCACAGCCACCGTCCAAACGCATTCTCTAATGAAATCCACGTACGACGAAGCTTTCTCTCCTTTGTGCCACCATCTCAACCGACCTACTAGTCATCTTTCATCCGAATTCAGTCTCCAACCCTCAATGCGCTCGGATTTGCGCGCCTCACCGCGTCGTCGTAAGCGCGTTCCGTCGCATCCATCCGCGCGATCAGGTGGTCTCGCACGCTCATCGCAGCCGCGCGGTAAACGTCGCCCGGCGACAGGTTGTCGCGATCGCCGCACGCGAGCGAGCAGTGCGCGTGTCGCACGATGGCACGGTGCACCGACCCCGCCGTCACCGCCTCCTCGTTTCCCCCCGCCTCGCGCCCGCCCTGCTGCGCCGCCAAGCTGCTCGGCGCGCTTAGGCGTACGCCGCAATCATACGGCGCACGAGCGCCAGCTGGCTCCCCTAAAGTGTCTGGACATGCTGATGGGGGCGCGGATGCTGCGCCGTTGGACGCGGCGCCTGGCACGGGACATGTATCTTCCGCCGCCATACGTAACTCTAACATTCAGCTGCTGCAAAGCGAACCGACGGACCGCGCTAAGGAGTGAAGAGAAAAATACTTGCCATCTCCGGTGTGGCCGACTTGGAACGTGGCATTGTGCGGTTGGGGGTGGAGGGGATTGGTCTGATCGATCTGACATGACAGGTGTTGGGATAAGTGACACCTCGATATGTGCAGTGCACGTTGCTGTATATTAGAGAAGTGACGCTTCGATATGGTATTAGAGAAGTAAATATGATATGTATACTTCCTCCACCTCTCTGTAATGTGTAGCCCTAGAGTTCACTTCACTCATATTAAGTGAAGAATCACCATTTTTATTTATTATGGAAAGACACAGAATAAGGAAGATGTACTTCGAATCAACCGTTTTAAGGAAAGAAAAAAAATCACTACCGGGCTTGTTTTCCTAAAGTTGTCTTGTATACGTTTTGTAGTATACAGTTGTCTTGTAACAGGAGCTGTTGCTTCGCTTATCACGGTTGTGGAATTTTGGGGATTATTTGACTCATCAATTCTGTTGATTCCAGAAGAAAGGCAAGTTCCAGTGTGGACACGTTCAGCGCACAGTTGTTTGGCAGCGGTGACGCATGCGCGCACTGCAGAAGTGTGCCCCTTGATTGCAGTGAGAGACGTTGGGTTGGGACGAAACCTCAATGTGTGGTCACACTTCAACGATGTCAAAGCAGGGACCGGGTTTCGGTTTGGTGACAAGGGCAATCCCTGTCCCTTGCTGGTGTTACAAAACGAGTCCCACGCATGTGGCCTTGAATCGAAGCACTGACGGGCTGTTGGCTGAACAACTTGACTGCTTTTCGATGATTGGCCCTACCGGGCAGTGGCGAGACTTGTCTTCGTCCAAACCAGGGGAGCTCTAGTCTCTCGCGCCGCTGCCGCGACCCAGAAACAAACGAGTGGCTGAGAGGGCTCTGAACCATTCCAGAATCGTAGGAAATTGCGACAGGCAGCTTTCAGGCGCACTAGTGTCGTGTCGTTTATCGTACTAGTGCACTGTTCGGTACGCTCGCATTTGCAGAACGATTCTCTACGCGACATTCAATTCGTTAGAGTGATTTCAGCGATGCCCATCATCCCAGCTGGGACGATTTGCTGCCTGATTTTTTTGGCAACACACCCCGCAGCATCTCACACTAAGCTATCCATTGCCTCACTTCCCGTTCTAAGATGCTCTTCGAGCGACACGACTCAGAGGACCACGTGGCGTGTGTCGGTGGACCACCTTCCAGCTGTAAATCACCACGCCTCTCTCCACTCTCGTATTTCTGTTGCCTCCTGAAACGTTATCACTTCTCCACTCTCCCTCATTTCCCGCTTTTCGTATTTCCCAGGTCCCCCTCCTGGTTGAGGTCCTTCGAGGCACACTTAGCTCAGCAGTCCTAGTTCGAACCGTTAGCTTGTCCATCGCTTTCCCAAGCGCGGTCCGGTCACCCCGTGTAGGTCCCCAAAATGCCGGCCATGGCGCTGAAGCTGTTCAAGCGCGGGCAGACCGTGCTGCTCATGCTGCCCGACGGCGGCATGCGCATATACGCGGACGCGGTGCGCGTGGCGCGCGTGATGAAGGACTATCCGGGCTTCATGGTCGGATCGCACAACTCCGCGCGCCTGCATCTCCCGCCCGAGAAGCTCCTGCGGCCCGGCAACTCTTACTTCCTCCACGCGCCCTCGGAGACCGATCCAGGCACCGCCGTGCCCCCGCCGCGGCTCGATACGACCGGCGGATTGGCCGAGTATACCCGCGATTATGGTGACTATGACAAGAGCTCGCCGGATCAACGGTCGCCCGCGAGCGACGCATCGTGGACGGCGAAAGAGGTGAGCCTTGCGACCTTGGCTTCTGCGGAATGCGGAGTGAAGGTCATCAACATTGCCTCGCCTTTCGTTGCATGAGCATTGGTATTACCGCCATCCTTTTGCGGAGCTACCGTTGGGCGCGTCGTTATCCATCCGTTGTTTTGGATCATGAATCGCCCTCTGACGCTGTATCCGTGCTTCCTCTCTCCCCCTCGCCATGGTCCGTCGCAGTTGCGCCGCGCCAGCATCTCTCTCCATTCATCAACAGCCGCCCGCCCATCTTTGCCGTCTCGCGCCAACTCCGCGCCGCGCTACAGCCTCGACGTGCGCAACGACGGCCGCGGCGGGATCCGTCGCAGCTTCTCAGCCAAAGATCTGGAGAACGTGCCCGTTCCACCGCCGCCGGCGGCGCCTGCGCCGGCTCCGTTTGCGCCGGCTCCGAAGCGACCTCCGGCATCACGCCTGGGTATGCGACGAAGCGCGTCGGCGCAGAACCTTGCTGAGCCCGGGTCCGTCGAGGCGGCCGTTGCGCGTTATTCCTACCTAGAGCCCCCTGCTGAGCACCCCGACGAACTCGAATCGCCGGATCATCCGCATCAGCGTCGCTGTTTTCACGCGAGGCACGGTAGTATGGAATGGCAACCTGAGACGCAATCGCCGTCGCAGTCGCACTGGTCATCGAAATCTCACTCGCACCCGCAGTCATACCAAACGCAGTGGGACGGCAATTCGCGCTTCGCTGCGGACGCGGCTCCGCGACAGCACTGGCAGCGCGCCGCTCTGTCAAATGCTGCGTCGACAGGGGCTTCCTCGTCGGGTTACCTATCGCGAACGTTCCCCGCCGTTGATTCCAGCCAGCCCGCCAGCCCATCCGGACCTCCCCGGCTGACTCGGCGCGCTTCGCTCGCAATTGACATGTCTTCCCTCGCCCTCTCCCCCTCCTCCATCGCTCCCCCGCAAACGTTTCGCCGCCTTCCCCCTAACTTCCAAGCGCAAGACGTCGCCCCCACGCCTGCGGTTCCCCCGCGCTTGCTGTGCGCGGGGGACGTGCGGGTCGCGCTGGGCGCCAGCATGGGCAAGTCGATGAGCTTCCCGGATTTCGCGGGTCTAGAGAGCGGTGACGTGGCGCTACGTGCGCAGCCGGGCTCGCGGGTGGCCCGGGGGAACAGCGGAGGCGGAAGCGGAGACTGGGGAAGCGGGGAAAACAGTCCGGGGGCAATCTGGGAGTGCGAGGAGGAGGAGGGGAGAATGGAAAGGAGCAGCAGCGGCGGCGGCGGCGGCGGCGGATTAACCCGCAGGCGCTCGGGTATTCCCAGTAGTAGATACGCCGCCCCTGAGCCACAGTTGCCGCCGCTGCAGCCGCAGCAGCAGCAGCAGCAGCAGAGGGCGTGGAAGGCAGGACAGTACGGGCAGCTCACTCCGCCCACTGGGTCTGGTCCGCTCCCCCCCATCTCCACGCACGCGCTCAACATGTCCCCCGCGTCCCCCTGCCAGCACTCGCCCAGTGTGTTCTCGCCTCTCGCCCGCTCTGCATACCACCACTCTCACTTTCAACACGTGCAGTTGCAGCAGGGGCTGTAGCCGTGCCACAGCAGAACCTTTGCAGGCTGTAGCAGGACCTTGGCTGCAGCAGGGGCTGTTGTAGGTGCAGCAGGAGCTGTGGCAGCTGTAGCAAGAGCTGTAGAGGCTGCAGCAGGATCTGAACCGGCTGTAGCAGCGCTGTAGCACCTGCAGCGGCTGTAGCAGATGTAGCAGGTGCTGAGCGTGCAAGTTGTGCTGGGGAGAGGGACGGTTGAGGTTGACGATACTGTTTGACTGAGAGGGGTGGTGCACGGGTTGGACTCCGGGTTGCACTCGGAGTTGCATGCATGCCTGAGCAGCAGGCTTGTGCACGCACAGCACAGGAGCAGGCAGCTCCCAACGGCAGTAGCCAGGCATGGCCTGCGCATTCTTTTGTGTGTGAGCGTGGCGAGGAGGCCCATGCTAGCTTAGATTAGATGTGTGTGGGGCGTGCGCCCTTGATGCGTGGTGTGGTGTGGAGTGGCGTGCACATGGTGCACCTAGTAGAGTAGGTATACTGACTGTTACGGGTGCAATGAATCGAAGTAGCGAGAATTGCACTAAGGTGTCAAACGAGTACAAAGATGTGAGCGAAGGCATGAGCGAACATTTATATGCGAAGCATGCAAACGGTAACGCGGTGCGTGCGAGCTAGCCAGTGCTATGTTGGCAGCGAGGCTCGGGCTAGTCCCGAAGCGTAGGCCGACACGGCCGGGCCAGCAGTGCGAGGTTTGGTGAAACAGTGCGCGCGAAGTCGGCGAAGTTCCGTTAGCAGTAACGGGCAAACAACGGCTGTTGCTGTACGCAATGTAGTCGGGCTCCGTAAGAAATGCCGAGAAAATTCCTTACACTACCCCCCTCCCCCTCAAGAAGCCCCCTCCGCTACGCGAGTGCGTGTATGTCGCGGAATCCCCGGCTCCTCAGGTACACTTGCAGGGCAGGGTGGTTTTCAATGTTGGCCAGGGGCACCCAGCTATCCTCAGTTGGCGTGCGGTCCTTCCAGCGAACGAGGAATTCAATCCTCCTGATTCCCGTGGGGTGTCGAATCCGATGGCTCAGGATTTTTTCGGGCTCGATGATCAGCTCCGATGCAGGGCGAGTCATGGATGGCGGGCGGTGGCGAGGCAATTGGCTTGTGGTTGGGATGTATGGGCGAAGCAAGCTGACGTGGAACGAAGGGCTGATGTACCAGTCGGTCGGTAACAGTAGGTGCGCGGTTACTGGCGTGATCATGTGGCTGATTTGGAATGGGCCGCGTCATGGGCACTGTAGGATTTTGCCTTGCCCGTAGTTCAGGTAGAAGGGGGACTGCTGCGTCGTCGCTGACGTGGCGTTGTTGTACGCGAACTCGATCAGCGGCAGCTGCTGTTCCCAAGTCGTGGGGTCGTCGCACGTGGCACGAATCAACTGCTCCATCGTCTGATTCGTCCGCTCCGTTTGGCCGTCGGTCTCGGGGTGGTACGACGAACTGAACTGTAGCCTGGTCCCGAACTGCTCCCAGAGGTTTTTCCAGAAGTTGCTGGTAAACTTCGTGTCCCTGTCGCTGATAATCGCTGCTGGTATCCCGTGCAGGCGAACAACGGCTGCGATGAACAGACGAGCGGTCTCCTCGGCTGAGATCGACTTTTTGCACGCAGCGAAGTGTGCCATCTTCGTCAGCCTGTCAACGACGACCATCACCGCGTCGTTACCCCCAGGGTTCGAAGGTAACCCTGTGACGAAGTCCATGGTAACCTGCTGCCAGGCGCGCTCGGGCGGTGGTATCGGCTGCAATTGACCCGCCTTCCGCTTCCTCGAGCTCTTCATCACCTGACACGTGGGGCACGTGCCCACGTGCTGCTGTACGTCGGTCAACAGCTCCGGCCAGTAATAATACCGCTGCAGTTGCTGTCGCGTTTTTTCCACCCCAAAGTGTCCCGAGGTAATTCCGTCGTGTGCCTCCTGCAGTAGCAGCTCCCTCAGTAGTGAGTACGCAGGTACCCAGATGCGGTTGGTGCATGTTTTTACGTAATAAACTCCTTTAGCTTCTGCCAGTTGCTGTGAGTTTCCAGTCGTGAAAAATGGGTCGGTGCGGTATCCGTGGGTGAATAGGCCTGTTAACAGCGGGTTGGTCTGGGCGAGTAGGATGGCGTGGAGTTGGGCGGTAGGGCGGGTGAGTGCGTCGGCGATGTTGGATGCGCCTTTCTTGTACGTAACCGTGTAGTGGAAGTTGGACTCGAGGTCGTCCAGCCAGCGAATTTGTCGCGGATTGAGATTTGGTTGGGCGCGTAAGTACTGTAGTGATCGGTGGTCTGTCCGTACTGTCACGTCGGCGCCAGTCAGGTAACACCGCCAAACCTTGAGCGCGTGCACGATCGCCAACATTTCGCGGTTGTGTATCGGGTAGTTGCGTTCGGGCGGGTGCAGTTTACGGGACTCGTACGCGATTGGCTGGAGGCCGTTCCCGAAATCCTGCAACAGTACTGCTCCCACAGCGATGTCACTTGCGTCAGTGACGAGCTCGAACGGACGGTGTGGATCCGCGATGTGAAGCACGGGCGGTGAGCACGAAATATTTTTGAGGGCCGAGAAGGCAGCTTGCTCTTTCTCCCCCCATGTGTACTCAACCCCCTTCCTCAGCAGGTCAGTCAACGGGGCAGTCAGCTTTGCCATGTCGGGGACGAACCGGCGCACGTAGTTGACGAACCCCAGAAAACTCTGCAACTCTGTCAAGTTGGTCGGCGCGTGCCAAGCTTGAATCGTCGCAATTTTCTTCGGGTCTATTTCCACTCCTGCGGCTGAAATAACGTGTCCTAAAAACTCCAGACGGTCCTGTAAAAATTCACACTTAGACGCTTTTGTCAGTAGGCGGTTCTCACTCAGTATTTTAAAAACTGCTTCGATGTCCTGTAAGTGCTGTGCTCTGTCAGGGCTGTAAATCAGTATGTCGTCCAGGTATACTATGACACACTTATCTAAGAGTGGGCGGAAAGCTTCGTTCATGGTCATTTGGAAAGTGGCGGGGGCGTTGGTCAGTCCGAAGGGCATGACGGTGTATTCGAAGGATCCGTAGCGTGTTCGGAATGCGGTTTTAGGGCAGTCGGGCGGATTGACACGAATCTGATGGTAACCCCCCCGGAGGTCGATTTTCGAGAAAACCCGGGCTGTGCGCAGTTGGTCGATCAGTTCGTCGGCTCGTGGGATGGGGTAACGGGATTTGATGGTAACCCTGTTCAGTGCTCTGTAATCGATGCACATGCGAAATCCCCCGTCTTTTTTCGGTGTAAACAGTATCGGTGCTGCGAAAGGCGACGAACTAGGGCGAATGAACTCCTTCTCGAGCAGGTAATCGAGCTGCTTCCTCAGTTCGTCCAGTTCGGGCTGAGTCAGTCGGAACTGTCGCTGTACTGTTGGCTGTGCCCCCGGTTCCAATTCTATTCTGTGATCGTGCGGTCGCTGAGGTGGCAGTCCCGTCGGTAAGTCGTCCGGGAAAATGTCGCTGTACTGCTTCAACAGTGCTGCCAGGTCACTCGGTACGTCGGTCAGCAGTTTCTGCAAATCCCCTCCCTTGTCTGCTGCCTCGGCTTCCCGAATGTCGACCGCGTACACGTTAGCTCCCGCCGCTACGGCGCGTTTCATCGTGATCGCGTTGACACGCACCGACGAAGACTCAGGCGAGCCCCAGCGAGGTAGGGCGATGTGGTTACCGTTCACTCGCACGGTGCAGTCACCCGTCGTCCAGTCGATTCGCGGATTGTGTCGTCGCAACCAATCACGCCCGAGTAAAATATCGGTTCCGTCGAGGGTCGTTGCGAGCATTTCTTGGCTAAATGTGAAGTTACCCCTGCATCGAATCCGAACCCGGTCTACGCGTTCCCGTATTGCCAGCGGCGTGCCGTCTACCAGTCGTGCGTCGATCTCAGGTAAAGATCTGTCCAGTGGCAGTCGCAGTTTTCGTGCTGTAGCAGTGTTGATGAGGCTGTGGCTGGCTCCCCCGTCTACGAAGATTTTAACTAAGTCCGTCCCGATTTTCCCACTAAGCAGTATAGGGCTGTCTACCGTAGTACCCTCCTTATTCGGCCGGGTGTGGTCGATTACGTGAACCGGCACAATCACTCGGTGAGGGTCGGTTGGGTCGGGCGAGCGGCGTGACCTGTCAGTAGAGGGCCCGTCTGCTACTGACTCCCAGCGTTTCCCTGCTGCTTGGTCTGTTTCTGCTGCTCAGCTTCCCCCTTTCCCTTAGCGTTTTCCGGGCATTCGCTCTTGCGGTGTCCCGGCCGATTACACGCGAAGCAGCGCCCTTTGAACGGTGCGGCAGCGGCATTCGCGGCGACGGCACGTATCGTAGCGCCCTCGTTCGTCCCACGAGACCGATGTCCCCAGTTGCTGCTACTGCCGTAGGACCCCGGTCTCGGTCGGCGGAAGAAGTCGAGCTTCTCCGCCATAGCGAGAATCTCCTGAAAATCGGTGACGCCGCGAAGCTGAATTTCTTGAGCGATGTCGTGCTTCAGGCCGCCGATGTAGCGGTCGATGCGCTCGCTCTCATGCATGTAGCCCACTTGCTCGCATAGCGCCAGAAACCCGCTGGTGTAGTCCTGGACTGAACCGAGTTGGCGCCAAGTGCGGAGCTTCTGTCGCGCCGCGATCGAAGCCGCAATTGGCTCAAATCGAGCACGCAGACCTGCGCACCATGCGTCCCACGTGCGATATTGGGGCACCTCCACGAAGTACGACGGCGCCCAGGGTCCGGTTTGTCCTTCCCGTGTCGGTAGAGTCGCGTAGTCATTCGGCTTCGTGACGATGACACGCCACCAGTCCATGGCAGGTCCTCGCAGCAGCGACACGGCGTAGCGAATTTTCGCCGAATCCTCCGAGACGTAGTTGGCGTCGAAAAACACGTTCATCGTGAACAACCACGCCTGAACGGTAGGACCACCCCATTGACTCGGGTCAAAGCATGGCGGACGCTGCGGCTTCAGCGGCATCGGTGACGGCAGTCCCGAATCGTGGGTCGGTGCCGAAATCGTGACGCGAGGTTGACT